TAAGATTAGGTCGATGTTTGCCTGAGTTTGTTGTTTCCTCGTCCAGTGTGCCCGGCGGTATTCATGGGTACCTCAAAGAAGTAGTCGCATCATGCCGCTTTTTGGCGGCCCGTTTCTCTTTGGAATATTTGAGCGTAGTAACCCGTAAGCGGTTGTATAAGGATGTTTGCGATGCTGTTTTTCCTGTTCCATTGTACAGGACCATGTACTCTACAGGCCCAGGACAGGACGTCTTGAAACGTGTGAAAAAGATGTTAGTTCCACCCGGGGTCAAGTCTTTTTTCTTCAAATTGCATACCGGTACATTACCGGTTAAAACATGGATGGAAGAGAGGGGCTTGTTTCTCCCGTGGGGTGTTCATTGTTTCCTATGTAAAAAACCAGAGACTATTGAACACGTCTTCTTGGAGTGTTGGGATGGCGTCTTTCTTTGGGATGTCCTACAGCGCACCTTGAAGAAAGACTTTCCACTTGACTCTCACGGGATTAGGTACCTGCCGGTAGAAAACGAGGGTGGCGCCCCATTCGATCTTGTTATGTTGCTGGGCCTGCATGGTATCTGGAGGTCTCGGATGGCTGTCCGCCATGCAGACCGTGATATGCGTGAAGCTAAGGAGTATTTCCGTGAAAGTATTATTTCATTTATTGAAGTTCATAAGGCTCAGAAATGCGCGCCTGAGTGGCTGCCTTGCATTGAAAAGCTGGTGAACATGAGCAAATTTTAACCCCGCACTGCTAGCCGCAAGCCGGCTCGCAATTTTAGCATTACCTCTTTTATGCGTACTGTCTGTGACTTTAGTTACTGTGTACTGTCTAAGTCCGGCAATAAAGAAAAAAAAAAAAAAAGTAGGCAGCGCGCGCGTAGCCTAACGGTTATCGCAGTTGCCTCCCACGCAGAAGGCCAGGGTTCGATTCCTGGCGGCGACTACACATTTTTGTTGACAGTGTAATTTGATGTTCTGATAAATTCGAGAACCGTCTTGCTGATTCGAGGTTAGAATGTTCTACACACCGAACCTTCTACACCGACCGATCCAAAAACCCACGAGGGTACATAAGGGATTCCGCAAGGCGAGCGGAGTCAGTTTCGCCCCAGCATTCGACTCTGCTGTTACGCTGACTTCGACGCCCGCGACGCTCTCTTATTATCTTTTGTACCCTTTTATTTTTGGCACAAGTTCGCCACAGTAAACGTTTATTTATTCCTGTTTATTTCTTGTTTATTGGTCACCACCCGTGACAATATATATATATATATATATATATTATATATATATATATATATATATATATATATATATATATATCTAAAATGACTTTTATATGCCTTGACAAATCTTGACAAATCTAAAAATGACTTTTATATGCCTTGACAATTTACCATCAGTGGTGAGCAATATATATATATATATATATATATATATATATATATATTGCTCACCACTGATGGTAAATTGTCAAGGCATATAAAAGTCATTTTTAGATTTACATTGTCATTCCTCTTGCTTGGTTCAGCTCGTTGGCTCAACATCACGAATTGACTTGAGCCTACTGACTTGAAACCACGTACGCCGACTTTGTTCTTCGTTAACTGCTCTACTTCCTGCTTGATGTCTGGATCGCCGCGTCGGTCGAACTTCGCAATTTTCTTTATGGACTCGCAAGCCTTTGTCTTTTGGCCAGTGCTCAGAAGTCACCTTGGAGATTCATACACCCATGTAGAGCACAAGAAAATACGAACGTTATGAGAAAGTTGTCAAACGATTGTGTCTCTGTCTCGAAAGGAACCTCCTGAAGTCTCAAAGCGAACGCTTACATTTCTGTGAGACACCAGAGAGCGTAAATTTCAGAGAGGTATAGTAACTTAAACCGCACAGAGCGCTTTGCAACTTAGTGACGTACACTTCCCGCGGAGATTGGTTGCTCACGCGCATACGTGCGTTAGCACGTGGCGAGAGGGATACAGAGCGGAGAGGCTTGCAGATGATCGGCGCTTTCGAATTCTTTCAACAGCCCGAGTCAACAAAAGGGCTCATAAATCACGTGATCACGATAGAGAATTTAGGAAAACAAAATTCTAAAATCTAGGTACGCTATAAGATGCTCACTTTTGTAATGCACGTTACGCCGGATTTCAAATTAAGGCTTCCTGGGGTTTTCTGAAGCGTGGTTCCCCAATGTCCTTCTGATGACGTTATAGAGGTGTCATGTTGTTGCATGCCACCCTCTTGGCGGTGGCCCAACAGCACAGGCGGATGCCGGAGATGCCTCTTCTGCTGCAGGTCTCCACACAACTTGACAGTCCACGGGAGTTTTAGCAGTCAGGGGTTTTGACGCAACGACGACATTGACCCTCGCGTTCGCTCGTCCTTTTTTTTTCTTCTTCAAAACTTCTACGACAAATTACCACGATCACGACATCCGACAATGTGACATGTCGGCTTCTGTGACGCAAATCGTTGCCACTTCGGGAGTCTCTTCGAGGCGTGGGCGGGATAGGGCGCTAACCATACCAGACGACGACGCGTTTCACGCTCTTTGACTAAGCTAAACAAGACACGAAGGTAGTAGAGGCTAATAGTAAACAATAAAAAAAAAAAAAACTTTTAGCTTTTTTATTTAGATGAAGAAGGCAGACCAGCGGAGCTGTACAATGGAAAGTAATGGCCGGCCGGAAGTCGGCAAGCCAGAGTGGAAAGGCTGCCGCCATCTATGAGCGACGGCGGGAACCGGATACGTGGCTCGCCGCCGTCGCTCACAGGTGGCGGTAGGTGTGCAGTTTGGTGATTTTATTTTTATTTTTTTTTTTTTTTTGGGGGGGGGGGGGGGCACGTGCACGATCCTGGGGAAACTAGCCCTTAACAGCTCCGTTGTAGAAGTCTCCTGATGTACTGAGGGTTGCAATTAGAGTTTCGCTAAAAGACTTAGCAGCCCTTAGCGAAACGTCCAGGCAGCTCTGCGGCCCTCGGGATACTTGCAAGAACGATTGGCGGTACAAACCGCGGGCCGGAAGAAAGCATTGAAATGAAATTCCTCTTGCAGCGGTACCGCAAAACAACACCGGTGGCTAGGCAACCTGATCGAACGCTGGCTGCGCGAGTAGACGGAGCGGCATCCTGGGACTGTAGCATATTTCAACACCCCCTCGTTTTGCTGTCAAAAGCGGGTGGTTAAATTTGACCTGAATTTTCTTATATCCGCATTCAATCGTCGGATTTATAACCTCTGCCATATGAAGAATAAGCCGCTAAATCTCTTCGCCCGGGTGAGTATCGCGATAACCAATCAGAAACGGTTTCAGGGAAGTATATACAAAATATTAAAATTTTACTTCTTTAAGATTTTCAAATCGACAGAAAACATGAATGCAAATGCGACCTATGTATATTAATGTTTCTCTAAAAAAAGTATACCACGTGCGAGTTATTTTGAGTTCTGTGTATTCGGCATAGATAGAATTCGAAAGTACTCTCTAAGGTAGTTGGGGCATGATAGGACATTTGAAGACAAACATCAATAGACATACGCCCTTTCATGTGACAATTTTCTGTTTATTGTTTTCGGGCAGTGAAGGAACGGGGTAGTTGCTCCTTGCGTAGGTAGAATCCCGAAGTGCTGAGGCGAAGGTCAAACGTTACGAGTACAGATCAGCAGCCTGAAAAATTTGGGCCCGACCTGTCCTTGATGACGCAAGACAATAGGGAGCAGAGCCACGACGAAAAATACTTTGTAGGCATGATGAACATAGACACTGGAAAGCACGTTGGTTTAGCAGCCTCGTAGTATTTCAACGCGAGCACAAACGTTAAAAAAAAAAAAAGACAGAAGGCAGCATATACATGGACTCCGTAACTTAAAACAGGTTTGTCCCAACATTTCGGAGTGGTCCAAGATTTCGGAGTGGTCATTCAGGTACACCTTCTGATTGACCCCTGCATGTGACTCGCATCTAAAAACCTTTTATCATTTTATAACCCAACACGCAAACCTAATTACTTGTTTGCCATAATTCCAAAGCATAAGTTGATTCCATTGACCTATGCATCTTGTGCTCGGTTTCATTTGCTGCATATGGACCCCAGAGGTCTAACATGGTGCCAAAGGTTTCAAGAACACGAAACTACACTAACTGGACATCTATTAATACTGACAACGGGTTCTGGTGCCTTGGCGGTCGGCCACCGAGTTTCCGCGTGCCGCTACGGTTCCTCAAACGCGTACTTGTCTGGAGTGTTTACTGTCTTATCCCGCTCATGCATTCAAGGTAAACAAAGTGGCGACAAATGACGTCACATAAGCCGCCATGTAAGGTTGTCAGATGTCAATTCTGGCGGTTGCGCATTGAAGTTTCGGCAAAAGGTACGAGACAACGCGAGTGTCATTATAGTCGCGGCACCCCAACCCTTGGCATCTGAAGCTTCCGGGGACTCTTAAGCTGGACGAGTGACCTGAAGCAAAACAGGCGTCTGCCGTAGCCGCCTCCACTGATGTGCTACGGCCAGGATCATAAGGCCATCAGCCGGAAATCGCGGAACCCCGTTTCAGGACCAATCGAAGACCCGTTCCAGGCACCATGATAGTACCCTACGAAAACGACGTGTGCGAAATGCGCGTGGTACGCCGCTCTCGGCCACCAAGTGGACAACATCTGCACGCAGGTCCGGGCGTTGGGCAGCCTCCCTAGCGGTGAGCATGGGAACCTCCAGGGCGCCGATAAGCTTCAATATGAAACTTGAACTCTATCTGTGCGATAGGTCCCGTTCGTTTGGCATTCTATAATTTGCATTGATATTGCACGTGATATTCACGAGCCTAATTTTGACCCTGTTCTCGTCAATACATTCAAATTGACCACAACTAGAGTTCAGAATTCTCCTCCCGGTCACTAGAAGCTCATTTTTTTAAACGTCGCTTTCAAAACATGCTTATTCATTCTCATATATTTTCTATGATGTTAAAACCCATTAAAATCACGTTCTATTTTAAAGAAACTGCATTGATCAGGTTGATAATCAACGTTTTTAATTTGGCCAAACTCGGTTTTCTTGGGTTTCTTCAAATTTCTTCATTGAGAGATCACGTGGAAGCCTAGAACCGCTTCAAAATAGCTCGAATTGGAGGCTCCAGCTGTCGAATTCTTTCTTGAAGTTCCTGTAACGAAGATTACGATAGTTGATTTTCTATAATATTGAGGCATCCCATTCAATGTTCATTACTGGCAGAAAATGTATTTTAGAGTTTCTTTCAAGTAAAAGCTAATATTTTATTCTGACCTTCCTTTTTGTTTGTTTATCTTTAAATAGCTGGGGGTACCTACGTTACATACCGTCTTTTAAATGAATTCCCACAAAGTTCCTTTTTTAATTTCTAGATTATATCATATCTCGAAATTTGTATGAAACTAAAAAAAAGATGCGTAGCTTTTGTGAATTCCTTGCAAAGTTTCTATTCTGTCAATTTTGTCTGGTAACACTGGTAGGCAGCCATTCAAGGTGTTCCTTGTAAATTTAGATTCTAAAGCATTCTCAGGTTGAACAGTTAAAAGCAACAATTCACTAGTATTTCTGAGAGGCTGAAATCCTGTACAAAAGAGCGTATGCTAATTGTGCAATTTACGTTCGTAAATTCTTAAGCAGTACAATTGGATTTATCTTTCAAAAGACGAGACCGACCTAGTTGTGTGTTTTTCAGTAAAATAAATAGTATAAATTACATTTTGCAATGAATTTGAGAAAAAAATAGACGGCCGCAATAAACAAGCGTCCATTTTTCTGGTCATTGTAGTATTGAGTGTATGGTATAGACAAAAAAATGCGTTCGTTTGTGGAAATATTTGTGTACAAACGCTTCAGAATAAGCCCTATCGCAAGAAACACGGCACACTTTGACAGAAGATAATGAATTTTGAATGGCATGAAAACCGGAGATCAGTGGAATTGAAATCATTTTAGTTCAGCTTCTGCAGTTCAGACAATGTATACATAAAATATCAGGTAAATATAATTGGTGTTATATTTAATTTCTTTCCGGCTCTTTTCTCAAAATGTCAAGGATTGTAGACCTTATTACGGTAAACTGCAGTCACTCGGCTTTTAAGTGCAATAAAATAACATGGTCACGATATTGTTTTCATCGAGATGAGCGCGTAAGGGATGGTGCCTATATTAACCTAGCTAAAAGAAATATAAATGTGCAAGTGTCGTACATACCTGAATTTTCGGTAGAAAAAGCAAGGCATGAGAGTCATGTGCTTCATGATAATTGATGTTTTTTCTTTTGTCCTGATGAACGAAAAGAAAGGCGTCATCTCCAAAAATGTAGACATTACTTAGTGGTTACAAATAGCATTTCGGTATGGTAGACTAAGGCTCTTCTCAGCCTCAGCATGAATACAATTCACGGTGTTCACAAGTTGAATTTTGGTTCATTAAACAGACAGCCAAGGTTTTACCAGAAGCCTTAGTTTGTTAAAGAGCTCGTTTTCTGCAAAACAGAGGTTGCCCTCTGGGGACTATTCCGTAGATAGCGTTTTGAGAATGGTATGGCGCTTGTGTTGTATTTGTTCTGAACTTCTTGGTAAGCTCTCGTTGCTTTATTTTAATATGTTTTCAGTGTTATTTTTGCGTTATAAAATACAAATTTGAAAAGTGGGCTCTGAGTAAGACGATATGAATTAATACGTACTGAAAGCAAATGTTTCGGTGAAATTTCATCTGTACGTAAAATATCCATTTCAAAGCCACACAGACGTGAATCAAAAATTAACGTGAACATCGAGTTCCACTGTTAAAATTGCAATACGCGCTTTTTATTCCCTTGGTCAATTTGCATCACAATTAAAACATTCACCGAGTTGGATTTTTAATTCTTAGTGGAATGGAGCGCGTCAGAATCATTTCTCCCCTAGAAAATATTACCTCCTCGTTGCAGCCATATATGTGATAGCAACACGGAATTTTCTTCTCCTCGCATATGTCTTCATGTGTAGTCATCTGAAAGGTCCAAATCAATAATTAGTTTCCGGAGTCTGGAGAACGAAAAGCAAAGTGCTTACTTCGTGAACTTTCATCCAATAACCTGACAGTCATCTAATAACCTGTGATCTGGCAGAGTTTAAAATATTTTCTTTTAAAAAACAGACCAGCTTTCTCTCTCACGTCATTCCGCTACGGTGGTGCTTCTGTAGGCACGGCTCGTACACAGACTATTCACTCCACGCTAACCATGTTTCTGCACAAGCGTAGGGCCCAGAGCCGGGCTCAGCAAACGCGGGCTTGCTTGTAAACTGTGCGTTAGATTATAAGGTGTATAATTCGGCGTGCTTATATTATTCAACCGCAGCAAGCAGCTTTCTTGCTCGACAATACATACCCAACAGATATTACCAAGGACGTTTGCTGAGAAAAGAAGTTCTAGTTGTTTTTAGAGCGCAGCTCTCAGGGGCCCGTTCCCGGCTTGAGCGGCGTCGCCGTCGCCGTCGCCGTCGGCGTCGCCGTCGGCGTAACCGCGCGGTGCATTATGGGTAAATTTCCCCGCTAAATCTTGCGGAAAAAATTTCCCCGCTAAATCTAGCGGAAAAATTTCCCCGCTAAATCTAGCGGAAAAAATTTCCCCGCTAAAAAAAATTTCCCCGTCAAATCTAGCGGAAAAAATTTCCCCGCTAAATCTAGCGGAAAAATTTCCCCGCTAAATCTAGCGGGAAAATTTCCCCGTCAAATCTAGCGGAAAAAATTTTCCCGCTAAATCTAGCGGAAAACTTTCCCCGCTAAATCCTAGCGGAAAAAATTTCCCCGCTAAATGTAGCGGAAAAAATTTCCCCGCTAAATCTAGCGGAAAACTTTCCCCGCTAAATCTAGCGGAAAAAATTTCCCCGCTAAATCTAGCGGGAAAATTTCCCGCTAAATCTAGCGGAAAAAATTTCCCCGCTAAATCTAGCGGAAAAAATTTCCCCGCCAAATCTAGCGGAAAACTTTCCCCGCTAAATCTAGCGGAAAAAATTTCCCCGCTAAATCTAGCGGAAAAATTTTGGTCACGTGACCCGGGGGTCACGTGACCTGGGGAGTCACGTGACCCCCTCCCGAGGTCACGTGACCTCTGAGGGGGCACGTGACCCCCGAGGTCACGTGACCCCCCCCCCCCCCCCCCGAGAACACGTGGCCCTCAGTACCCTCCCCTCCTCCTCCTCAAGAGCTGCGCTCCAATACGGCGTTACAGGGAGTGGTAAACGGCTTCCACTTTTTTTAATGGGAAAATGTTTTGGTCATGGATGCAGTTCATTGTGCGGATCCGTATCCCTTTGTTTAGTATGCCAAAGCTTAAGGTTGGAAGTTGATAATGCTTGCAATAGAATAAGTTCAACCGCTAAAATTATTTTAGTGTCGCCAGAACTGACGAACGCCAATGAACTTGCTATAATCCAAACTGCAAACCTGCAAACGTGAATTAGAGGAGAAAAAGTCCACATAGGAGCGAAGGAAGTGTGGCACGAGCCGGAAAAATGAAACACTGCGCTGTTCGAATGAGGATTCCAGAATGAGCTTTGATTATTGGGTTCACCTCCCAGTGTGTAGAATGCGTGGCGGCACACGTCAGTTACGCCATTCGGTAATTGAAGAGAAGGACCGATGGCTCGGGATGCTTTGTCTCAAGAAAACAAAACTTAAAAACACGTCCAAATTGACCATCCTCCTTGGATGGCTGTAAACTGTTGCTCGTATCTCATATATATCAAAAGTGTGCCGATTGAGTGTTTTTTGGTAATCACCAGAGTGTTTCTAATTGACTATACAAATTAGAAATTTAAATACTTCGAAGTAATTAAGAGCTCAAGTTTAAGCGCATCAACGAATACCATACAATATTAATTTCTTAAAGGGGGTGCAACGATTTTATAAGTCAAAGAATTTGCATCTCATCATTTTTACGTTGTTTATCGTGTCCCGGGGGATACAGAAAACTTCTCAATTAAAAATGTCGTGACTCCGCTGTATAATCGCAAAGCAAAAGTCGAGCTTTTTCCCCCACCATGCAGCCGCAAGTGGCAGCCGAAGGAACTACGGCGAAAAGATTACGTGGCCTCGCTCAGCTCTAAGCTGCAGCCTAACGCCCGCTAATGTGAGCACAGAGGGGGAGAGGAAGCGTCCTCCGAGATAGCACACGGGAAGCTACACGGCACTCCAAATGACGTCACTAGGAGTGCGACCGGGTGTGACCCTGACGACAGGGATGAGTTGAGGGGTGCCCGAAATACGAATATTTATCTTTTTTTACGCGACAACTCGCACACGCAGGCGAAAACGGGTTTCTGCTCTTTACATCAGAAGTGTCAGACGGCAACTTCCACAAATGTTTGACCAAAGTCCGGAAATCGTTGCACCCCCCCGCCCCGCTTTAAGTAGGCAGTGTGGCAGAAACCAATAGGACATCAATGTTTTGTCTCGGCAATTCATACTTTTCGCAGGAGCGACTTGCCCAGGCTGGCCCCTCGAAACTTCCTGTATATTATGGCTGTATTACACCTTAAATGTTTCCGAGTCTTGGCAATACCCGAAGTTTCCTCACCTCTTCTTTTTTAATTTTTTCGTTGCAGGAATTGCACTTCCCAAACTGGCAGTTTTTCTGCAGATATGAAAACGAAACAAAGGTCAGAAAAACACCGGCAAGGATTATCATAAAAAAAATAAGAAAGATCGTAAAGTGCCGTTTGCTCTGCACAACTTTGCAAAGGTTCGGGTTGTAGATGTAGGTATTAAAAGTTTTCCTTAAAAGTAAAGCAACATTTCAAATTCTAACACTAAATATTTTATGTTACTCTCGCCAAAATGTGTCGGAGCAAATAAAATAAAATACATCACCATATAATCAAGGTTCTCATATAAGCAAAAAATTATGTACGGATACCTGCACCTGTGTTTATTGTCTAATTAATTTATGTAGCCTCAAACACCAAAAGTGGCATGTTAATAAATCCCATGTGATGCAAGGGGGAAATTTTCCACCACCATTTTGTTTTTGGATTATGAGGAGAGAAATGCCTATACTCAGACCTTAGCTCTAGAGTTGTGCTATTTTAAATGTCAAGGGAAGAACCAGTAAATTTCACCACTTTACAAAGTACTGCTTTAGCTCGAACACGTCATATATTGATTTAGTTATTTTAGGCAATATTCATTACTGCAATGCAGACTTGGACGTAGTTCAAGTACTACGCTTAAACTACTCTAGTTTAACTATTTTTTCGAACAACTTGGTAACTTTCAATTACAAGTTTATTATGGTAATTAGTAGCTTACTTTAACTACATTTTTTGGGTAACTTCTACTCAAATTACTAACTACTTTTAAAATCTAGTGCTAATTTTGCTTATCACAAAAGTTTGAGCACAGAAATGAATAAGACGCCTGCAGATGAAGTGGCATTCCCGAACAAGGGGCCCTCTCACATTCCGTTCCCACGCACTTATACCCGGGAACCGTAGAAACTGCATCACAGCCGTCCTTGGGCCAAGGTGGCGACGATCAACCAAAACATAACACCGGCGGGCACGAACGCAGGAAGATATGCTTAACAAGCCTTGGTCGAGTATTGACCTAATCCGGTAATGCACGCAGGCGCCGCGCCTCCAGGTGCAACCGTGAAAGACGGGGACACTCCGAGGGTTGTTGTTGCTTTCATGTCCGCCTTTAGTGAGTTCTGTCTCAAGCGGTTTGGGGGTTCCACGGGAGAAGCAACTGGAATGACCTCGCAGCAGGGCGCCTGTACCCATGGTCGCCTCGCCTTCGGAGCATACTCACTTGCAAAGCCGGACTTCCCGCGCACAAACGCAGACACGAACAATCCGTCCATGGAAGCACGTTCCCGCTTCCAGCTGCAACTGTACGAGCGACGATGCTTGTTCGCGTAATACTTCGCGTCCTTCGGACCTTCCACGCCAGGGAGACCTCCTCTTTGTTGAAAACGATTTACTTGTCAGGCGCGTCAGGCGCGTCAGGATACCGTAGTCGGCAAGGAGGATTGCGAGTCACTCTTGAGAGATCCTTCTGTTGAACCCGGCGTCAGCGGCGAAGTATACATCGTAGCACTAGGGAGCCTTCATGTCCCGCAGCGAACATGAAGGTACTCTACGTAGCACTAGCACTGCAGCGAGGCGCACAGTCGTCCGGATGATCTCATCGTCGTGGCGCGAGACTTGAGCCCTGGACGGCCAGGTGCACTTGCTCAGCGTACTTTCCAAACGTCGTGGGAATAAAGAGGGGCCAGTCATAACAATCTCAAATTGCCGAAGAAAAAAGGTGCAAATTTGTTATAAAAGACCCTGTAGCAGAGGCAAACCTCACGTTTCGTCATGGACACCTAAGATGCCGACACTCGCTTACCCGACACTGCACAGCCTGTTTCTGAAATTCAACGGTGCCTTTCCATTTAGCGTGTCGGTGGAACGTTTTTTTAGCTTGGCTGGGGACGTCTTGAGGAGGAAAAGGGGAAAACTCCGCTATCAAGAACTTTTAAAGTCAATTGCTTCTGCGGGCGAATATTCTATTTTGGTGAATTCGCAAGCCATTAAATGACTGCATTTATTTTAGGCTCGCTGGGTTTTTCACGGATCAAAATTGATGTTCATTTCGCTACCACAAAAATATACAAAAAAGTAACTTTGAAAGTAACTTCAAAGTAACTCGCTACTTTTTTACAGTAGTTTGTAGCTTAGTCAATTACTACTACAAATGCGTAATTTCTACTCTACTATAATTGCTTTTGGCGCCGATACTCAGTAACCTAACTTAACTACCTTTTTTGGGTAATTTGTACATGTCTGCTGCAATGCTCTTTACGCATTTCTGAAACGACAATGCTACCGTTAAGGCATATTCCAAAAATCTTCTCGACTAAACCAACAGGCCCTTCTCGGCACTCTGATTTGCGCGCTATCACGGCCGTCACATCGTGTTGTTCACGGGGAGGTAGAAAAGGGGAGGGGTTTCCCAAGGCTTAGGTAAAGACGTCTCAGTGATTCCCGCGCCAGCCTTTAGTCACGAGTAATTAAATCTGGCAGCCGGCTAAAGGCTAGCGAGTGAATCCCTGGGGTGTTGCTTACTGGAGCCTCGGGAACCCCTCCTCTCTCTCCCCTCTCTCCTTTCTTCTCCCCCCCCCCCTTGCCCCTAAACCAGGCGATGTGGCGTCCGTTCATACGCGGCGATCAAGCGCCGAAATTGGCCTGTTGTCGAACTCTACAATCTTTCTTTTTTTTATTTTTTTTTTAATACGCATCCTGGCGCAGATTGTGATATCTTATTCGATTATCTAGTCATGAGCAACATCCGCCTGTAGTGTTCCTTCGGCAATTAATCTCCCGTACTTATGTTTGAGCATCACTCGCCTTGTGGTCACTTAACTCCTCCTGTTTGATCCATTCATCACAGTCACGGCATTGAACTTCTTTTTTAGGACAAGCCTTCTCATGTTCCTGTAAAAAATAGAAAATAAAAGGACCCAAATTTTGTCTCTGAGAACGGCGCGAATATTGTGGGCTACATGGCTACATCGGCAACCTGTTTAGATATAAAAAGCCCCGTTTGAAACACTTGTTTAAAACGCTATTAAACGACAAAGTGACACCTTTCTCCAGACCGCTGTCCTGGTTCCAACGCACGTGCCTTAGCTTTTTCTTAATTGTTACTTCGATTTGTAACAAAATCACAGACATAATTAATAAACCTTGTATAACTTCGCACATATCAGAGTCAAAGCCAAGAATGGCGAACTCCAGAAGTGCAAGTAAAATGTTGCAGACACCATTCTCATTAAAAGTAATTTGTTTGTTTTAGGAGTCCAAACGGAACCTCGTGGAATTCTTCAAAAATGAGTTTACGGGGTCATCAAAGCTGGGGAGTCTTGTGGCCAACTCTGCAAATCACAATCATTTGTTCCTCGTTTGTTCTGGAGAGAAGCTTGCTTTATCATATGTATACTGGGAAATCTGTCATTCCCCCCCCCCCCCCCCCCCCCTCAGAAACTCGAAATGAAGGGCGTGCGTCGTCGACATCGTTACCTGACACCATGACATCACAGTCACGAGACGTCCCACAGTTACGTGATGTCATGGCGTCATGTGACAGCGAGGTATTACGTGACGTCGAGCTGTATCATGACAGCTTGGTGTAACATGAGTCCGTGATGTAACATGACTACGCTAGCAGAAACGTGACATCATTTACCCGTCTAGCTTCGTAGCTGTAGGCCAGTTTTCTTCCCGACTAGACATTGGCGATATGGCTCCACCGCGTCAGGCGAAAGAGACACAAGTGCCAGGTGCATAAGGGTACATCAAGGTCTGATAAGGTGTCGCAGCTATAGCTGTGAGTGTTCTCTGGATTCACATAGGACTGCTCCTTTTTTTAACCACACTGCGCTATCTACAGTTCAGATAAACTGCTAAACCACAAAAAATTCTAAGCTGAAAGAACAATTTCCCATGATTTACAGCATTTTGTATTATAGGCAGACCTGTCAGCACGCTTTTTTCTCACCCCTAAAAATAGCAGAAACGATACTTCCTTGATTACATTTTGTTAAAGAAAGAATCTACCAATATTTACAAAACCATTCGTTTGACGTGCGTGGACAATGGACCGGAGACGTAGTTGGATTTTCAGAGCTTGGAAAGCGTCTCCGCAATGGTGTGTTCACCATACTATTCCGCCCGCACGTTAAAAGTTGTCCCGAAGTGGCGACAAATGACTTTACAGAAGCCGGAGTGTCATGCTGTTGGATGTCGCGATTTTAGCAAAATAAACGTAAGCGTCCTAAGAAAAGAAAAATAAAGTACGAGATCGCGAGTGTTGTGCACGTCGCTTGTCCCGATTCAGAGCTGCAGAATACTCGGCGGACTGGCAAGTTTTGAAGAGCAACCTGCAGCAGAACAGGCGTCCATACCACATTCATCACCACTGCTGCTGCGACACCGCCACAATTACGAGCAGCAACGAAATTACACTTCTATTATGTCATCGAGCAAAAATCGAAGGACCACTTTTTTAGGATTTAGGACGCAGTATAAACACACCAGTAGGAGCCGCGTTCAAAGCACAAATGGACCCTTCAAAAAAGCTTTGCACCATCGCCTGTCCGCCATTTTGCTTGCTCACACACACCGAGCATGTTATTGGACACGAGGGCTGCATCGTCAGCTTTCTACGGGAGCTCGGCTCAGCTCGGATTCAAAACGAGCGCTGCGTCAGCAAGCGTTCGGCGAGGACTCGGATCCAATCACAAGCTTCGTGTACCCAATTGATGGATGGATGAATGTTAATGGCTATACCCTTTGTAACGGGTGGTAGCTTGCGCCACCTAGCCTCCTACCTAAGCAATGGCGACCACCAATCTTGCTTGACGGATTTTTCAAAAGGGTCGTTTGATGAAGTATTGAAACTAAATTCATACATTCTTCTGAAAGAAAAATAAGGAGGTTGAAGTAGGCTCTAGAGACGAGCTCACCCCAAGTTCACGCGCATCCCATTCCTCCTTGCAGTGTTTACAAGCAGATGCTTCATCGCCCTCCGACTCCACCGTGACATCCGCGTTCTTGCTGAAATGGTCTTCTCTCCATGTTAAGGAACTCGTTCGATGTTTCTCCTGGGTGGAAGCAGGTTTCTACAAAATAAACAATAACAGGATATGTTAACACAAATTATAAACAAAATTAAAATAAGCAAGGCGCTTTTTATAGGTGCAAATTTTTCATTGTTTTGTTAGTATTATTTTTTGTGTCTTACTGACACGTTTTCATTACTGCGATTCAGACTCGATCATCTACTCATTTAAGGTTTATTTTCTTATCGTGTCGGCTGCCAAAACATTGCTAAGGCAAGAGAAAACACCACTTTTGTTTATTTCGAAAGAACCAAAATAAAGAAGTGGATCGTCATCATCCCACAGTATGGAGCGGTTTATACGCTTACACTACGCCGATTTTTTTAGCTACCTTATCTTGAGGCATAATCTGAATGCGAATTACTTTCCGATTCCGAAACGCTATCTCGTTCCCCCAGATTCACTTTAGTCAATTAAATAAGTGATGTTTTGTTCGCTACCGAAACGAAAACTTCGTTCACTCTAGTGTTTTCTCCAGTTTTCCTCGTCATCTAAACGTGACGTCACTGGCGTTAAGCGAGGCAGTAAGAACAGCAAGAAAACAGGGTGATTCGTTCCATCTCAAATTGATAATTGATTGATAGTTCAAATGGAATGAACATTTATTAGTATTCTTTCAATTATTATTATTATTATTATTATTGTTATTATTATTATTATTATTATTATTATTATTATTATTATTATTATTATTATTATTATTATTATTATTATTATAACCTCTATTTGGACAACGCATGACTTTGGCCTAGCAGCTAAACTATAGAAAAGAAGAAAAAAAAAACGAAGCAGTTCTGATTTTGAGAAAACCGGTTTTGCAACTCGGTGCGCTCAAGCCGCGGCTCGCTAGTTTCATGAAATCGATAGCGTAAATTCGTTCTTCTATCAGGGGCTGGAAGATACGCGAATGAAGGAAGTCCAAGATTCACGCAGTGCAAGTTTTAACGAATTGCCCAAGCCTCTACGGAGTGTGCTCGGAATGTGGGTGCAGGTGCCCCACACACTCGTATAACCTGAAAGAATGTGGTGTTTGTTTTGGATTTTATTTAGAAAAGTTACTGCTGCAGACGCCATCACGTGTAACTACTCTTGTAGCATGCATTTAGTCCTTGGTGCTTCGGTAATTTGGCAAAGCAATCTAAAAACCTTCCAGAATAGCGCGTCTGGTCTGCGCCATTTTCAGCGTTCGTGCGTGTGGTGCGTGCTTTGCTCGCCTTCCGAAGCGACGAACACGCACGTGCTGAGCTCTGACCCAACACATGTAGACTGCGATTCTAATAAACACTGAAATGTATAAAATGAAATGAAACGCATTCGTATAGGTCAGACGACAGATTACTGTTCACGAATATCGAGCTTAAATGATAATTAAAATATCCCCGCAGCCCCCAAACGAAACATCAAGCTGCGATGAAATACGTATAAAATGCACGCACTATTTATCTTCAAGTACACATATAATATTTGCTTGAAGATTCAATAGTGCGTAAAGTTTAGAAATGCATCTAAAATGTTTAATTCAAAACAAGTGAACAAGAAGTTCCCCGAAAAAGATATTGGTACCTATACTTTTTGGTTTGCTTACTGTCGGAGTAAATTGCAAAGCATTCAAACACTGATCCACGAGTGCAGATGGGGAAGGAGGTAATTCTATACAAGTTTTTATTTAAAGTATTATTACTGTTTGCTTTTGCACAGCATATATCTGCGGCAAATTTAAACGCCTCCCCTTAACGACATTTATCAATTTTCATGGTTTTAAGAACTTTTCAATTAAATATAACATTTATTTGCAATAGAAAAACAAAATATAATTGCACACCAACATTTTAACAAACAAAGCAGGCAATGGCTCTGTTGTACATTAATGGAGCTCAACACCTGCCATCTGGACCTCTGCAATGGCAGACACGAATTGTGTCGAAAGTCATGTATAAACTCAGACATGAACTTTAGACGTTTCAGTTCTCGTTTTCAACAGATGAGCAGTTTGAGTTGAACTCCGAGAGTAGCGCGAGCTGGATTCGATGTCTAAAACAGACAGAGTTTTTAAAAAAATAAATGAATATCACTACATCATTTTTTTAACAACAAATGTGACTGCGCAAAAAGCAGATCAATGCTAAAATGAGCACCATTTTTCTTGATATTATTAGCGCTCCTCTTTTGACGGAGGTCGTAGTGGTCACAGCCGGTCTGCGATTGCCCCTCTTGAAGAAATTCCAACTGCAGAAGGATATTCAACTCTCAGTACGCCGCTGTAAAGAATTCCCAGCAGAGACGAGAATGTTTCACCTGACACCAGTTCTCTCGGCACACAGTTCGCGCAAAAGCACCCTGACGTGGCCGTCCTCCACTGCTGATCTTTTGCTACACATTGCAAAGGATGATTTCAACCTTGAAGCTGCGAAAAAGTACCCTCGATCGCTGGCGACCAGGAAAGCCGCTTAGCGGCTGCCCGGATCACTCGGCCGCCTGTGACGCACACGACTAGGGAAAAGTAGGAATTTTTCATTGTTGGTAAAGAGTCGTCTCCTGAAATCCTCGCGGCCGGAGTAATTTTAAAAAATCGATAAATTCACGATACATTTCAATTTTATAAAATACTCTTGTTATCAATTGAGAAACGGTTATTTCTGCGGTCTGCCAATTTACGGCCAAATCGAAGACTATAGAAAAAATGGCGAAGTTCCCCCCCCCCCCCCTTTCCCCGTACAAACCACACATCTGGAGCGAGCCGCTACCACTACATTTGGGCAGGAACCGAGAGTTCGGCTTTGCGTAGTTTTTTTTTTTCTCGATTAAAAAAACTTTTTTTTTCTTTCCGGGAAATATGTACTTTAATAAACGGGATGTAAATGTCAACAAGAACACCAAATAATATTCGGCACGCCATTCTGTTTTTTCTCTACAGAGGCAGATTTTTGGTGAAAAGTCTGCATTTGTCCGCCTATACATTCTGCATCCCACGTAATAGAAATCAACACAGCTGCGTATGTTCCGACATCCACAACAAACACCACCATTAGTGCTGCTCGGCAGCAGACCTGCACTGAACCTGGACGTAATTCAAGTGAGCAGGGAACGTAGCTTTTGTTTAGTACGTATCAAATTTCTTAGCTCTTACTCCATCATGGCGGAGGTATTATTATCCGGTTAAGAAATCAGGAATACTCGCTTTGTTGCAAATCTGCAAATCTCAAGTCTTAACCAGGCGATATTTTTATGTTTGCTGAGTAATTACATCCGCCTTAATTTCAATTTCCGTAAAGCTACGGATGTTATTTTTTTATACCACGCAAATAATGTTTAGATATTATCTATATCAGAAAGCGTATATTTGTTTCGCCCATCATAATTAATAAAGTTGAACAAAACAGAGTTTCAGTTACGTTTACCCTTCAATTGCAGTATTCTTTATACTTCTACAACTAAAGACATTTTCTCACCTCTTTCTCGTATTTAGTCTTCTGGGAACTCTTGAGCATATCCGCAAGCCCTCTAGGATGTCTTTTAGCAATGTGATCCTAAAAAAGACAAAGTAGGAATTAAACTAGATAATAAATTATGTTTTTAAACACTTGTTAAAAAAAAAAAAAGAGGTTTTGTGCGGGTTTGATTGATGCTATATATAATATGTGTCTGACCCACTAGGGCGGTAAGTAATTATATAAAAAAACACGTATGTACCTTAAAAACGCGCACACAATTTCGTGGGGTGTCGTATGTATAAATAAAGCTAGCATATCTATACTTTCAATAAATGATTCAAAAGACCCATCTCGAAAGTCGCATGCTGAATATTAGAAGGTTGCAACCACTGCACAGTAGCGAAACAACGGACATCGCGTAAATTGTAAGACATTCCATGAGATAGCGAACGTCGGAGCGGGCCAACGCAATAGTCCGTGACAGGCTAAGAGTAAAGTGGAAATTCCTCCCGACTCTTTCCACTTTAGCAGAGCGAACGGTGAAATGGAGATCGCCTTTCAAGCATTTGCCCCGCGAAAGCGGAAGGAGGTGAGTGTGTTTAACCATCTAGTCCAGGGGTCGGCAACCCGCGGCCCTTGAAGCAGTTTTCTGCGGCCCCCCCACGACATTAGAAAGCCCGCCCCCCCCCCCCCCTACACACCTCCAGACATGTACAAGTTACTAAAAAAAAAAAGTAATTAAGTGAAGTCGCTGAGTACTGACGTCAAAAGTAACTGGAGTAGAGTAGAATTTACTCAAATAGAAAGTAATTAAGAAATTTACTAATTAGCGTAAAAAAGTAGCGAATTACTTTTGAGGCTAGTTTGAAGTTACTTTTATGTTTTTATATGGTAAAAAGAAAGTACAGAAGTTTTGATCCGTTAGCGAAATTGTGCTAGCCAAATATGAATAGGTTTTTTTTCCCCAGGAATGCTTTAAAAGCTGGTTCTGCTTCTGCGTGCTTGTTTTGTACTTTTTTGTTTGTTTGGCCAATTATGTACTGCGAATGTGTCATTTCTGTTTTGAAATTTAGCACTGTCTGAGCTTGATATTTTAGAGAATGTTTGCTTGTTTACAGTGTTGCGTAAACTACATATAAAAAGCACTTGAAGTAAAGTACAAAGTAAATGAGAGGTTATGTACTTCAAGTAAAGTAGTAAGTACACCGGGTGCAATGTACTTGAAGGAACGCATAGAAATACAATATATTTCAAAATAAAGTGCAGGCGCTTTTAACACAATCTTTCATGATACCCCTTCATTCCCTCTATAGTGTTTTTTTTTTAAACTGGTATGCATTGCTTTAGGGCTACTCGGAGGTGCATAAGTTTTTACGGAAATGGCATTAAATATTGTATAAGGTCAAGTCGCTGCAGAGTAGTTGTTTTACTCTCGCTGACGAGCAATTTGGCACAATCAACTTACAAGGCACTTATTTCCATCGGTCTTACAGTCGCCATTTCTTGACTCAGAGAAATCACCAGATGACGTCTCAAAAGAGCGCGTTTTCCCTCGACGATACCGCCATTTTTTGTTTTTAAATTCGGGAAATGTACATTTAATTCGGGAGTTTTACTTTCCTCGGAAAATACAAGTACCTGTTCAAAAAATTTACTTCAAGTAAAGTACAATTTTTCTAAAGAGTAGTACTTTAAGCACCATGTACAATGCACCCCAAACATAACGCCGCCACTGGGTTCCCAAATATTTAGCTCGTGTCGGCTACTTACTCTAAAGTGTGTCACCAAAGCGTTGAGGATGTCTTCTCAGGATGGGATTGATATTGTAAACCCAATCATTCTTCAGATATTTCAATCGGCCGCCGCAGGGACTGTCAGAAACGGCAAATGCCGTGGCGGCGTTAAGTTTGAGGCGCACTGTACATAGAGTACTTCCCAACACTGCTAGTTTATCATTTTTTACATAAAAACGTTGGGGGAATTACTACAGGTTTCTCGAACGATCTTCGAATCTTTGAGGATCTGCATATTCTGAGTCTTGGGAGAAAAGGCAACGGAAAAAGGTAATTTTCGCGTTCCCTTTTAGCACGTTGATTCTTTAACTACAGTACAAACTACGGGAGCACCAGATGAGTTCCAGAGCAGGTGCTGCATCTTGTTGCCTCTTTTGGGTGAGGATCCAGTGTGTGCACCTCCTGTAGTGGGCGAGAGGTTCTACGTTGGGGAGAAGCGGGGACCAGCCCTTTCTTCAAATGGGTCGACTCTCCTTGAGCTTCGGGACAGAGAGAAACGCGAGTCTTCGGCGCTAATCCTGCAGTTACTCGGCCTCTCTTGCGCGAAGCGTCTCGTAGCACTGTGTGTGTGTATGTGTGTGTGTGTGGGGGGGGGGGGGGTCTTTTGAAAATTTGGGGGGTTTCGAACTCTCCAAACCATTTTCTCCCTCCCCCCTTTCTACACCACATGCTTCCCACTCTTTGCAAATATCAGCTGATCTTCTAACATCTTATCTCCTTTGTGCAGAAATGTTTGTTGATAGGCAAAACAACCACTAAAATTCGAAAGTAATTTGTAACTCGACGAGGATTTACCCCAAAAAAGTAATTAAAGTAAACTACTAGTTACCGAAATAAAAATGGAATTAAAAGTTACTAAATTACTCAGGAAAGCAGTTAAAGTACAGTAACTTGAGTAGAGTAGCTGAACTACGTACAAGTCTGCACACCTCTGTCGCTTCATTACACAGACTCAAGGACCACACGGTGGTTTTGACCAGTGCTGTAGGTGTCATCGAAAAAAAAACGAAAACTAAAGAGGTACGTAACACATAACTCGTTACTTGCAAATAAAAGGGGCTCGATATCGACCTGCGTTACCTCAATATAAAAGGAACGCGTTACCGTTACCATTACCGATGTAAAGTGACGCACGTTACTTTTTTTAATTATGAATGAACACGTTTTTTTTCTGTTTTGACGGTACAGGTATGTGTAAGCGCCATATTTCAAGAAACCTTATGTTCATGCCGAAACTGAACATAATTTATACTTTCTTACGGCTTCAAATAATTACAAAAAAAAAACTTAAAGAAAAGCGCAATATATTCAAAACTTTACATGGCAATTAGCGCCTAAAACCCACAAAAAATATAAGTGTAATATTTTAGAGTTTTTGGGAGAAGCAACGAGTAAAGTAAATACATTACTCGTCATTTGAAATAAGTAACGTAAATACGTTACCCGTGACTGTTCTGAAAAAGTAACGAGTCCGTTATTGCGTTAGCGAAAACAGTAAAGTGTGACCAGTAACGCTGTTACTTGTAACGCGTTAACGCCAACACTGGTTTTGACCTCAAATGGGTGTTGTCCGGCACCCCATGCTTGGGAACAGAAAATCCTCACTTTCTTTGTACCTCTTCTTCGACTGCTCCCCTTTCCTTCGCGAATTGTCGTCCGGCCCCTTCCTTGTCGGCTTCGTGCAGACTCGGCCCGCCGGTGAAAAAGGTTGCCGATCCCTGATCTAATTCAAACAAACGCATAAAGTGTGCCTTTACGTTGCGTTTTTGGGGGGTCCGTCATTATGCAGCGATTCCACAGCTGCCATCACAGGGCAGACTTTCGAAAGGGGTCTCTTAAACTAAATCTAACTCTAATCCAATGCAGGGACACGTTAACTCAATCCGAACATTTTTGTACTTCTTTTCAGCGCGTCACACCTTTAAAAATCCGCGCCGGCCTTTTCGAGCTCTCTGACCGTAGCAAAGTAGATAAACCATCAGTTTTGTGTTTTTTTTTGTTTTTTTTATATAACTTGTGAATTAGGTTATCACGCATCCTACCCCTCGGAAGGCCTTCCATCATTGTACGGGTCATAACCTGCACGTGAAGTGTCCGAAGGAAAGAACAGACACCCTTCATAACTTTTTTTTCACGTAGTCTAATTAACCTGAACTTCTGATCGTCGTGACAATTGAAGGCGCGACAAAGTTTACGATACTTTCACGCTTTTTCAGATGGTACACTGCAAGCCATTTTTAGATAACATCTCCCAGGAAACATCTAATGTATACATAGATAGATATAACTTTATCTGGGGGCATTTCTGTGCCTGGCATTTATATTACTAAACCCTTTTTATGCAACAAAATTCGTGCGCACAAAAATATTTTTTCTTGTGACATTTTTTATATTTATACTTTCATTTGAAAAAAATATATATATATCAAGGTTATGCTAAAATTCATGACCGTTATTCTCACAATGGTTTCATGACTTACCTTAATATTAAAAAAACTTGCGTAATATTTGCAAACCGGACACTGAATCGTAAGTTTCTTGGCAGCAACATTTGATTTCCCAACTGCATTCCGCAGCTGAAATTAAAAAAAAAAAACAGATAATTTTTATTTATCTAGGCATATTTATCATGTTCTCGTTTGTTGCACTTGTACGACAGACATGGTGTCAGAATCAAAGATTATTCAACTCTTGCGGGTTGGACCTGCGGTAACAGTTTTTGCGAAGAGGTCTGCAACACTACAGAGGCAAGAGACTTTCTGCATGGTTAAGCAGTGTTTATGTTTAATATACCGTACATAAGGAATGCATGAAAATCCTCATTGTAGCAGACCACACTTTGATCAAATGCCACGCCTCTGATAACAGTCTTGTGGAATAACACGGATTACTCTAACGTCGTCAACTCTAAGTAACGACCTTACAGCATGCTTATTGGCTCTCGGATAATTTGGAAAACGTGTATTCGGATAGAAACCGAGCTCTGAATAGAACGATTAGTGGGTCGACGCAAAGCTGGCTGTCTTTGTCTCTGTATACTCACTCTTCGAACGTGTTAGAATGCCAAATGCCGGCATCCGGATTTCTTGTTTGAATGCGTTCCAACAGTGGATAGACACAAATACAGTTAGCTTTGCGCCTACCCGCTAATCAGTCCAATGAGAGCTCAGTACCCTGACGGCTACCGCACCTTCAAATATTTCTCTTGGTTTCTCACCGTATAGACGAATCTTTATTTTGTTTGTGTCCGTCTGTGTTTTTTTTTTTTTATTCGCAAAGTTAATGATAAACGAAAAAATACTATGTCATCATACCCACCGCCTCGGCTGTTACATCGCCGTGATGATGGTGGCAAGTGAAATCAAATTCTTTGCAGTCTCTGCAGAGTCCATGACCTTGGCATTCATTTTCCAGAGGATATATTGAATCTGGGACACAGCGACAACTGTGGCACCTTATCTTTTCTGGAATACTTGTTTTGTTGATGTAGTACTCTGTGCTTGACCATTTCACTTGTTCCACTTTGAAAACCACGCTCTCTTTGGTGGAACTGAAAAAAAAAATTGCAACTACCTAGTATATAAACTAGTATATAAACTATCTCACAGTCATCACGAGATGTTGGAAGGCCGCAGAAATTACTTTACGGTGTAACTGCATGGAACGCGCAATCAAACTAACGATTATAAAAGCATCTAAGGCTGAAATTTGCGTGCGTACCGAATTTTTATTACAGTTGCACTTGAATCTAGAAAACGCAATCGTTTGCATGCATTATATACAAAAATTGCCATATGATCAGTTATCCAATTGACTAAAACTGTTAGCTAACTTTCTATCTATTCATATATGAACCAAGTGGCAAGTGTAGTCTTGTCACCAGTCATTATTGTAAACAGGTCTAATGAAGAACAACAATCAGCGAGAAGTAAATTGGCTTAAGCACAGCCTCCTCTATACTGAAAAAGACTGGCAGATCGCCACAAAACGCGGCCGCCGAAATCGAAAAGTAGAGCGGCAAACAACGGAGAGGAGAGCCAGGTGACGGGCGCCCCGCTTCGGCAAGACGCCGAAACACACTTCCCCCAAGCGATGGAATGTCCGCTCGTGCTCCTCGCGTTCCTCGCACTACCGTTTCTTTTCTCGTCGGGGTTGAAAACCATGTCTCTTGTCCTCGCCGCTGCAAAAGCTGTGCGCAGACGACCAGGCTCCCAGAGAAATTCTCTGTGCTACCAGATCCTCGCGCTCCAAACCTGCGACCAGGCACTCTATGACTCTGTCGTCAAACTGCCAGGCTTTGCGAGTATAGAGGAGGCTATGCTTTGAGACGTTCATAATTCAGTTCTTGTGTCGTTTGTCCAGTGGTATACTTGGTTAGTGCCGAAAGTTCACATTCGCGTTGCACGGCGCCTTTGCTAGTTCGCTGTCCCCACTAAAACAATCATGGGCAGTAAAAGCCTCAAGGTCCTCCCTTTTTTCGTTTTAGGCGTGTTTGGTTCAGCCGTAATAGCGAAACCCAGGAAGACGACGCCGAGCACCGTGACAAGACACTTTATTGGCGCTGCTTGAATGGTTCGATCGGATCTTAGGACCGGTTGCGCTCGGGTCTTACCGTGAAACCGAGTTATAATTTCAAACCTGAATGCAAAAGCAGGGACGTGTGCCCTCTCTGGCCACATCAATGTTTGTTTGTTTTTCTTTTTCATGTACCCGACCGTAGCGATGACCCCTTTGTAACCTCGACTGACATGCAATCTGCTCTCTCGGCAACGTCACGCTGCCGGGATAGCAACGAGTGTGGGTAATGGTTCTAGGCATCATCAAGCAGAATATGGGCCGCCGGTTAAGCGTGTAGAATCGTGATTAAATAAACAAAAAAAAAAGAAAAGTGGGAAAACCTATGGTTTATGAATATCGCAAAAACTGTCGCGATATTGCAACATCTTTCAATTATTTTTTCGCTCGCTAACTACTGCCTTCAAAAGTTCAACAGATGATATTGCAGTTTTGCTCCAAAAATTAATATTGCTAAAAAAAATCCTCATACACAGTTTTTGTGTGGAATCGCTATGCGTTAGTTAACATCGTTTTGGCATTGGGCAGGATATCGAACAATAGGGGGCAATTTATCGAGGTTGTTGTCCCCACAGCCCGGTGTTTACTAACACAGTATAGCAAAGAGATTTAACCTCGCCTAGCACGGTCTTTGCACGAGTGCGTCGCTTTGACTAGTGCTTTAGTCGCACAAGGGCAGCGTCCACTACGATTTCTTTGATCAAAAACAAACAAGAAAATTCGGCTTGTTGTACCCGCACCCAAAGCGTACCGTTAGAGGCGTGGCTGTTCAATTTCCTCCCCAATAGTTTTCTCTGTATGTGCCAACATACTGTGGCCGACTTGTTCTGGTGCACGAAATAAACAAAGCAATCTTATTTTTGCATTATTCCGACTTGATCACAAAGGTATTCCTGCGTAATGCACTGGACGTAGCTAGAATATCGAACGTGTTCTGCAAGATCTGCTGCATGCTAATACAATACCAAGGCCTATTATATCTAACAAATCAATACGCTAAAAAAGTACTAGAATATTTCTTTTTAAAAGTAGCTTCGCATAAATTCATACGGATTCCTGTCGTCTACGTATCTTCTAACACGCTGCAAAGCAATACTTGGTCCCAGCGCTCAATGCAAAACGTCCCCAACAAAACGTTTTATGATTAAAGGCGACAAGAGTCGACCACCAATGGCATTTATGCTCCACGAAAGTTTCCGAGGTAAAAAACAAGTATCGAACTGCAGAGGCTCGCCGCCCGCTACAGGCTGGTTCAAACAGCTATTATGGAGGCACCTACACAGCCCAAGCTTATTATCTGCAGTAACGCACTGAACTTCTATACGACACTCGCTTTGTTACAAGAATAGTCAATGGCTCTTCTCATTTCTCTATCTACGCAGGCAGGCGACGCCCAGTAAACATATCGTGTGACTATCGTTAAAATTTTACGACGCTGACGAACCACAAAAAACCTTTGTTACCCACTTTTGGAACCCAGTCGAAATCTGTACCTCTTCCTGACACAAAAACGTATTACACAGAGCAGTAACTTACGCCTTCGTACGTCCATTGGAGGCCATTTCAGGCAACGCACGAAAGAGGAACTTGTCTGCCGCCTTTTCCCTCCTCGACTGACGCTCTTATCAGAGCTATGATAACGCAAAAGCAAAGTCCGCGGCAGCCAACGTTACTCCGTCAACTTCGTTGCAGACACCGTGGTTGCCCGGAACTCTCGCGAATAAAGGAAACCCTTCTCCTCCCATTGATAACCATCAGTCGTTCGCAGCGCCATCCAAAGTCTGTGATTCAAAACTGTAATCCTGGGAGACGCTAGAGTACCCAGGCGGCGTAGCCAGAGTATCGCCTTTCTTCTCCTTTCGCCACCAACTCCTCATTGGCGGGAAAGGGGTCACATGTGCCAAATGTGACTGCTCGCTTGAGGGGAAGCCTTCTTGAGTAGCGCAGTGTTTGGGGCGGAGCATAGGTTTCGCTTTGCGCTCGCGAAATTTAGAACTTGCACAGAAGTATGACGATGAGCAGGAAGTTTCTTAAATCTTTTGACATTGTGTGTGTCACCTAGATATCTGTAATTATGATATTTTTATAACGCGAGCGCAGTTTGCAAGCGTCCGTGAGCAAGCAGACGACACGAGGACCACGACGACCAGGCCAGGGCACGCGCGCTTTCGTAAAATCCGAGATGCCCACGACGGTGGATAGGCGGTGAGCCGTGCCTCATGGCGTCGCGCCCGTCGCGTCCCCTGCAAGAGCGAAGTTCGCTTCACCCGCAGTACTTACAAAGTAAAAAAAAAGTAGAAAAAAATTGAGACCGTTGCGATAGTCTGCTCCACAAGCGGAGCATATAGAGTTACTTCAGGAGACGTTACGCTGAAGCGCCATCAAGAAGCTGAGATTCAAAACCTGGATTTCTTATAGAGTAGACTGTAGTTACCATAGCAGCCGTCTCCAAGAGGGTGGCGCGTCAAACGATGGGAGGCAAACTTGGGGGGAGAGGGGGGTACTGCTAGCAGAAGCCGCGTTCATGAGCAGTGCCGTAACTGCCTTGATCTAGGTACCCTGGCTGATCACACCAACGTACGAACGAAGGTCCCAATCAAAGTAGGGTATGCGTGAGAACCAATATAATATACCCTGCGGCTACGCAGAAAATGAGCATTCGCCAAACGTTATTTTTTAGCTTTGAGAATTTAGGCAGTCTTGTGAGGTTCAAGCCACCCTTGAGTGTGTAAATTAGTTTGTGGCATTTGTTTCCTTTTTGGTTTGTTTCATGGCTGATTGTGCAATGGCATTAAGGAATATTGAAAATGTGCGGTTTCCCTGGAACTACGTCATGCCTCCTTACTACGACCCGAGCTAATACGGACATCCCCGATAGAAAGACAGAGTTATAGGGACCAACTAGGTGAATACATGCACTTTTGGCTCGGTATTGTGGAAAACTCGCATTGTGGGTGCTTTTGGGGGGTGACCGGACGTGCCCACATTAATGAGATATCAGTTGTTATTTCTTTCTTTAATTTTATCAGGCTCGGATTGCCTAATAGCGTGGACATAACCGCGAAAACACCTCTTCAAGGGAACAACAAAAATAAAAAAATTGAGGACAAAAACACCGACGTCAAACTAAAACTCGTAAATACTTATCTGACTTTTTACGACTTTATGGACCAATACGCGGCTCTGACGTCACGCCTCTGCAGTGGCACTGTTGTCGCCACGGCACATGCGCAGAGCTTCACCTCACGTGAATCTGGTTTCTGGGCTCGCGCAGTGCCCACATCTGGTGTTGGCAAGCGTGGGCTTGTTTGGAAACAGAGTGTCGGTCTATACGCGATAGTTTGTCACCCAACAGCGCGATCTTTAGATATCCACGGTTGTGATGTGCTTTATGCGCTCCGTGCCGGAACTATAGGGGGCGCTTTGCAAAACGCGCGTAGCGCCGCTAGCGGAGGAGCTGGCGTTTGACAGTGAGGCGCGTTCAGCAGCCTGCGCCTTTTCGCATGCCAAGCTGTTGCGGCGGAAGCGCGCACGGACGGAACTTCTGCTTTTTAAATCGATACGTTGAGGTGACGTTGCATGAGGGCTGGGACAGACCTAAGAAGGGCATTTAGCTGTTATCAGCTTTATATATTGAGTTTGAGTCGTTAATAGGGATCATTTCTCTACTTGCGGTCGAAGAAGGGGTTGGAGCAATTCTCCGAAAAGCAAGATGGCCGCCGCCATAGCTGCTCTCAGCGGAAAATTTGCTTGGCTCGTAGCTGTAAACGTAGGGCTGCTGGGTCGGTAATATTTGGAGGCAAGTGAGATGTTCACCAAAAAGAGGTGTGTTTACCACTGTCCCAAGATGGAAATTTATTTCGCTCGTTGCTAGAACAGTCGGACTGCTTGGACGATGGTATTTGGAGGCGAGTGAGATGTTCACTAAGTTTGTGCACTAAGTGTTCCAAGTTTCATTAGTCAAAGTTATGTTTGGAATGAATAAGGGAATAAAGCTATACGGGCTATTCAATATTGAGCTCAAAATGTTGTGTTATAACCCAGGCTCTGCGAAATGCAGATTTGTACACAGGTTCTTGGACATGACCGTAACTTGACACAACGCTTATTATACCAAAAATAGGAGGAATAGGGAAACCAGGTGGAAATTTGGTTTGGGCGGCGGAACTGAATGGGAACCAGTTTTGATCATGAAAGGACTGTCAAGAGAATACCACTCGTCGTGGGAGGGGGAGACTTTAAAGGTAGGAAGGGACCAGTGGACTATACTTTCAATTGAAACAACTTTACGAAAGGTGGTTCCAAAGCCGCGAAAACAGTTTGCTGACACATGGTTTGGCCGTCAAGGGCTTTTGCGGACAGCTGTTGTGTAATAACCTGATTGTGCGAGGTGCCTATTTTCGGCACACAGGTATTTGGACGTGACCGTAATTTGACACAACACGTATTATACTAAAAAGAGGTGGCACAGCGAAACCAGGTGGAAATTTAGTTCGGCTGACGTAATTGAAGGGGAACCGATTTTAACCGTCAAAGGCTGTCAAGAGAATAGGGAATTGTAGTAGACCGTTTCCGGCAGCCCGCTAAGCACCCGGATAGCGCTCCGTAATTCGCCACAAGACCTTGAACTACGCAGAGAAAGCTGGCGGCGCGCATGCGCAGCTGCGGCGTTTTCTTCAGGGATAGCGTAGCGGAGGAGACAAACGGTCTACTACAACTCCCTATTACCACTTGTCCTGGGAGGTGCACACTATACAGTTAGGAAGGGACGAGTGCACTGGACTTCTAGTTCGAACAACTTCACGATAGGTGGCTCCAAAGCCGAGAAAAAAAAATTGAAGACGGGACTCGGGGTGTTGGCGTTTCCACGTCCAAAAGGAGGCTAATCAAAAAAGGAAGCACACCGCATAAACTTCTATACTCAAACGTAAATTGTCCGGTGATTTCGAGTTTCAATGTAGTCTTCCTTAGATTCATATTTGTCAGTTTTTGGACCGTCCGAATCTTTCTACATGAAGTACAGATTGCGTGCCATACTTGTCCGAAAATATCATCGACACGTATGATGGGGACGACACTTCTTTGGAAGGCCTTCCTCCAACAAAATTGGCACTGCATACCCGCGAGTGTGAGTTGGCATTTTAGTTCGTCCCATCGCCGCTAACATATCTAAGCGTTACTGGTACGAAAACAAACGCAGAGCGCAAAGCGGCAGTGTAGAATATCTCAGGCGTGCCTAAACAAAGGCATACATGATCGGGAGACCAAATTTCTCGCGTCGTACGGCACGGCTCCATGGTTGTCGCTGTCCCACAAAACGTCACTCGAGGTAAAAGACTGTGAAACTATGTCCCCACGAAATACGACGCATAACTATTGGAGCACTTAACAACGCAGAAGCCCATGCTGTCATCCCAGCGCAACCGCACCGCACTGACTTCAATGCGTACCAATGTACGCGGCGTGGTTTCGTATAGCTGGGGTTCTCACTGCCTACCTTCGGTAACGGCCGTGCGGCGGCGCGCCGGTCGCGTTGCACGGAGCGTATAGGGGGTACCTTTCTGCGGGTGAGCTCTCAAGCGGCAATAAGAAATATAAAAATCCGGAATTTAGAGATTATTGAACATCTCAATCAATGCATACTGTCAACCGTTAGCATGCGCGTTAGGAACGCCATGTTGATGTTAATTGCTTTCTAATATCAATTGACGCACAAAGTTGTTTTAGAGCGCAGTGAGGTCACATGGCGTCAATTTTCCCGCTAAATTTAGCGGGGATAATGACGTCAAATCACTTTGTGTCACGTCACTCATGGAGAAATTCAGTTTCTCTTCTAGATTTAGCGGGGAATTTGACGCCACGTGACCTCAACCCCAATCCAGTTTCCCCGTTAAATTTAGCAAGCGAAACGACGTCACAAGACTTTGTGTCACGCTACCCATGAACAAATTAAGTTTCTCCGCTACATCTAGCAGGAAAACTACCGTCACGTGCCCTCAACACCAATCTGAATTGTATGGAGGAGGAAGGGCATACCCTCCCCTCCGCCCCCTCCCCTCCTCCTCTTCGAGAGTGGCGCTCTAATTTCGCGTTACCAAAATGTGTAAACACTTTTCATTTTTTTTTTACTCGGGCTTTATAAGAGGCACTGCGAGCGGCCGCAGGGGCAAGACGTGTGTTGCATGGGCTCCGCTCACTAATCAGTTCTCCTGCGGTCATCTGCTTGATTGTGCCACTATTTCTACACTACCGCACGGAGGAAGTGGTGCGGAACATTTGGATACCATTTTTTCGGTGTTCGACCCGTTTTTCGCCGAGAAACTTCGATTTCCCTGGCCGAAGCGAGGCGCCGCCTTGCTAAGCCTAACCGTACTATATGGCCACGCCGAGTGGAAACCCCTCAAGTCCTTCGGAGTCCAAGTGGGACCAGACTGCCACGCAGGGATTACCACGCACACCGGTAAGCTCTACTCACTCTTGCGTCGTCATGGACGGAGACGAGATTTCGCCGGAAGATTTCCACGCGCCTAACAGCGGCTGGCAAGACGCAATCAAGAAAGCATATGCGAGGCGCAGGGTGCAAAGCGCAGCGGTGCAGCCCGCCGAAATCAACTCGAGACGACTGGCCTAGCGGCCAAAAGAGCAGCTAGAGGAAAGAGAACCCCGAGGCTTTCCAAGCTACCGGAAGATGACTTCCGGGTGGTCTT